ATATATATATATGACAAGTTCTTGTTTTACCAAAGAAAAGGGTCAAAACATAGATTTAGCTCTTTACTATATTTCTTTTGGACACATAAAAATTAGCAATCACCTTAAAAGACCAAGTTTAGTAATAAAAAATAAGTCATGAATTTTTTTGTCTTACCACGAAGCATCATCAAACAGATGACTGTGAGCTCAAAAAGTTTGACTTCTGCCATTTTCGTCCTCAGTGAAACCTTCATTTTTAAAAGCGTCTCTGGATCTTGATGAACTAAAGTCTCTGACTCGTCATGTGAAGATGTTCTGCTGTCATCACTTGACTTCATGAGGAAGTGTCACCTCCTACTAATATTGACTTTGTCACCCGAGTCTTTTTTTAATTATCTGGAGCTGAAATCCTCACGTGAAAAACCTTTATGTGCATGAACCGTGTTTGGATTTGCAACCGGTTCTTAAGATGTTGGTTTGGTATATTTGTATCGACAACACTTTGCTGAGCTGCTCCATAACGCTGTTTTTAAAATATTCACATTATTTTAGAAGAAAATATCTAAAACTTAAGTAAAGATTTAATAAGTTTAGCAACTTTTTATGTGCAGGTGTCCCAACCTAAGCAGCAGACACGTCTTAACTTACTTGTACAACAATTTACCGTATTTTTCGGACTACAAGGCGCATTAAGCGAAATAAAACAGTCAAATAAGTGAAACTTTATTCAACTCATTCACAATAACTCTCAACATTGTTCAGTTGTACCACATAAAATCGGTTCGAGGTCAGTAAGCACAACCAGAATTAATATATAAGGCGCACCAGATTATAATGCTCACTGTCGATTTTTGAGAAAAGTAAAAGATTTTAAGTTCTTCTTATAGTCCAAAAATACGGTAATTTATTTTCAAAATACTTTTATTCTTTAAGCCTTTCTTCTTGTTTGTTCCGTTGACCACTGAGCCACACTTTGAACGTGAATCCACACTGAGCCCAAATGATGATACTAATAATTATGAAATGATACAAAACTATAAAAATACATGACACTGCTTCATGTACTGTTACTTTTTTTTTATTTAACTCCTTGAGTTATTTGTTCTTCTACACCAGAGCATAAAGCACACAAAAAATTACAATATGATGTACATTTGGTCCAACGTGTTCCCAGTAAAGGAATATAAACCTGTTTGTTGGATATGTAGGTACATTTATAACGTATATGTGTAAAGCAAGAAACATCAGTAGCTTCATCAAATATTAGACTTAGTATTTGTTAAAATAAAACATTAAAATACATTTTAAATGTAAGCTGAATAATTGTAGACTTGCAAAAGAAGCTGTAACTAAACTATAGTAAATATTGATCCATCCTCCACATCCTTGAACTACCCCTACAACGTTC